ACCTGAATTTTTGTGCCGAGTCTACTTGTTATGGTGTCTAAAAAAGGCAAGCCTTGTCCGTTGGTGTTTTCTAATTCTATAGTAAACTGTATGTTCGGGTTAATTGAGTTCAAATGTTTGTGGAAATTGTCGACTTGATCCTTTTTGATACAAGAATGACTATCGTCAACATACCTAAACCACAATTTGGGAGGGTATGGGAACGTGGAGATTGCCGTTTCCTCAATTTCTTCCATAACCAGGTTGGCTAAAACAGGACTAATGGGAGAACCCATGGCGCATCCAAAAATCTGTTTGTAGTGGTCGCCATCATATTTAAAATAATTTTGGTTGAGGACAAATTCTGAAAGTCTCAAAATGTTGTCAACAGAAAGATTGGTACGTTCTGCTAGATTCTGGTCTCGTTGTAGTCTCTCCTTGGTTATCGTGAGGGCTAAGTCCACAGGTATGGAAGTGGACAGGGACTTCACGTCGAAGGAGACCATGACTTCATCGCTGGAGATGGAAAGCTGATTTATTTGTTGCGTGAAAACGGAACTGTTTTGGACTGTGTAGGTGTTCTTTCTTAGAGGTGACAGGACTGAAACTAGATATTTGGAGACCGCACAAGTCGGGCTACCGATAGTGCTAGTGATGGGTCGCAATGGCCTTCCAGGTTTATGAATTTTCGGAAGACCGTAAGAAGATACTAGCGTTGAATTACCGCAGTGTAGTTTCTGTATAAACTTGGGCCAATTCGCGGTGCTGTGCTGTTATTCTCGTTTTTGATAGTAAGGAGGATTTTGTTAAGATATTTTTCAACACTTGTTGTGGGTTCAATCTCTTATCCGTTAATTTCAGGTACGTTTTTGTGTCGTTTAATAAAACGGCTACTTTCTCTTTGTACTCATCACTATCCATCACAACTATGGATCTTCCTTTATCGGCTGGAAGGATCTTTACAGTCTCATCCTTTCTCAGGTTTTGTAGCACTTTTTCCTGCTCTTTCGTTATATTGGCTGTCGTGGGTACTTTGCAGTTCTTAAGAATATTCGTAACAGAAACGCGTATTGTGTCTTTAGCCGACTGGTTGAGACCGAAAATGCCATTTTCAACTGAAGATAAGATTTTTGCGATGGGAATTTTCTTTGGAGTGATGGAGAAGTTGAGACCTTTGAGCGCACTCGAGAAAGTCCAAAATGAAGCTCAATTTTACCCTAGTACTTTCTTAAAACTCAAATGTGTTCGAAAATGCCATGGAAAATAGACGCCCTCCGCTAACTTACGGAATGTGATATTGTAAACAATTTCGCCATAGAAAATGGATGAAAATTTGAAACGAAAGCAGGGATAAAAACCAAGCCGTCGTCGTTAGCTATGCAAGGCTAGCTTGTTATATTGATTTCCTAATCGAACACAGTGCTAACTGCTAGAATGTGCATGGAATTGCGGAGTCAACCCAATACCCAATTAGATTATGTCGTGACGTAAGTGACAATATTGCGATTTTCACAAAGTTTAGCCTGGTTTTTCCGCGCGGAAATGAAAAGCCGCAAAATAATTGTTATATCCTCCAAAACAGTACTATTTCCACTTATCATGAGCTTAACCTGAGCCGATTCTGAGTTGTACCGCATGGGAAAAATGATACGAAATGCGATATTTGGATTTTGAAATATTGGTGATTTTCAAAGCGTTTCGTTAACTCCAAATTAAATGAAATGGTCCCGTTTTAGACTTAAACCGTTTCTCTATCCGCTTCCTACACAAATTTATAAAACTGATATGAGCTTGCTTTCTTTTCCACTTTTCATGAGAAAAGTTCATTTGCTTCTACTCGGGTCACTGATTTCCGCCATTTTACGGCCACCTACGCTCGTTTAAGTTTTCGTGAATTTTTTAGGATTAAGAAGCAAGTCTGGAAAAAGAAAACCTTACCACGTTTCTATATTCTATATTCGTCTCTGACTGAAATATGAGGATAGTCATTTTTCGGTCGATGTGCCTCCTCTCACGCGGTGTTGAAAAAAAGTCGCTCTTAAATCATATAAAGGTATATTTAAAAATATGTTTAAATTAACCAGAAAAATAAAAATATAAATCCAGTGGAAAAGTCAAGCACTGCTATTAAGCTTTGCAAACGTATATTCTGGCCAGAAGACAGTTTATAAAAGAGACTTATTAGAGAAAAAATGCGTCAGATAGTTTGAGAATGAATCAGAATTTTGAAGCTGCAAGACAAACAACCGCTATCTTAGTGTCCCTTTTAAGGTCTAATGGCCTCCCTTAAGTAAGTTCCACAATATACTAGGCTTTTAGTAGCAAAAAAACGCTTAATATTTGACGAGATCGGAGCTATTCACTTGAGGAACAAATTGAGCATTATTTCTGACTAATTAGTTATGCAAACTGATGCAACTGATTTGGCAAATAAACCATGAAACAACTCCATTTAAAAAATTAATCAACTTACCACACAAACGCACAGCGAGATCAGTTTTCAGGCGAATGGGAATTTCCAGAACATTGCAACACTCTTCAAGTAAAGGACCTAAGGGAAAAAAATATACACACATTGTTAATTTTTTAAAAAATTTACAATTTGAGGATTTGAGAATGACTGGAAATTATGCAGCTTGAAGATGCCAGCAGGCTATCCATTTAGGGTGATTGCTCATTACTACACCGCGTACCCTGTACTGCACATGACATCACGTAATTGCTACGATGATCTTTTGCCCTTGAACGGTGACTTGTGTTATTTTGCATAATCTTGGTGTTTAATTATCTCATTTACCTACCCTCATTTACCTACCCATTTCCCTCATTTACCTACCCCTAACCGCCTCCCGGTTAGCTCAATTGGTTAGAGCGCCAGATTATGTTGTGCGGGAGGTCGAGGGTTCGAGCCCCGGCCGCACCGATACTCATAGTCTTAAAATAAGTGAAGAGAATTTGCTACCTTTCTGTAACCAAAAAATGGATAGATATTCTAGTCTTCTCGGATAAGGACGAATAAACCTTAGGCCCCGTCTCCTGCAGGGTTAGGGGTAGGAGACGCTAATTTCCCACGCACAAGATTACTGTGTGGTGGATGTCCTTCCCCGGGGTGGGATGGGTGGGAATTGCCCTGAAGAGCCCCTATGGGGAGAGGTCAAGTAACGTATGTACGTATGTATGTACGTATTTTATTTTAAGAGAAGTTACAAAAATTTATCGGAAGGGGAAAAAAGATATACTTAAATGAGTACACGAAACCTTTACTGGAAGAGGCAAATTGTGACCCTCAAAGCAAAGACCAGAGGAACATTCTTCCATCAATTATGTATCAAACTGTTCCAAACGCTCGAGACTTTTTACCTATCGTCTTTTTTGAAGTTTCTATTAAAAAACCTTTCCTTCTAGCTGCCGCAAAATGTACCGTGAACCGACAAAATAACGTGCGAGAACCCGAACAGGGCTAAATAGGGTAAAATCAGCCCATCAAATCATTTCAACAAGCACGGTGACCCACCTTTTTTCTTTCAGCTGTCGAAATAGAGAATGCCAGGGAAAGTTTCAAAGAAATCGTTCAATAATTTTATTTCTGAGGAATCACCTTAAGTTCACCTTTCGGTCTAGTGGCTTGGAATATAATTATTGTAAGGAAAAAATTTCGCGGTCTGTGCTTGGAAGATAACAATAATTTTATGGCTTCTCCCCGCAGATTAATTTCAGTACTTCAAATGGGACTGTATATTTTATAGGGGACAACAAAGGAAAGAGAAAATCGTCCCCACCTGTTGTCCCTGCTGGCATGGTTTTTCTCAAGTATTCGGCTACGTCAGTCCTATTAAGACACTTTGCCTCTCTCATAAGGCAACGGATCCACTTTTTTGCCTCAGTCTTATGTTCTGCCAGTGGATCTTTGAACGAAGAATCATCAAGCTTAAGATGTTGCAACAGTTTAGCCACAACTGTTTCGGAATGTTCTGACTTTAATTGCAGAAACTCGCGAATACCGGAGGGTAACTCAAGAGTACTTTCTTCGCGCCCTAAATAAGCGAAAACAACAACAATAAACAAAAAAGCTAACAAACACTTAAATTAAAATTTTTTAAACACTTTGGATGATCAGAAAAGGACAGTGTACGTTGACTTTCTATTACCAAAACGGAAGTAAAGAAGGCAATCTATATATAAATGAATAAAGACTGATAGTTTCGAAAGAAACTGTTTGGGGCCGCGTCGGTGCGAGTAACGAAATAATTTGGATATATTATTTCTATTCGCTCCGACGAAGGGCTAACGCTCGAAACGTCAGCTTTTGTAATCGTTACGGTGGCCAATTTACCACTTCAACTTTGTTGATATATCCCAATCTACATATAAGACTGACAATGCAGATACATGTAGAAGGCAAGCGATTTACAAACCATACAATTAAAGAAGTAAAATATTCAATAACAGTTGACTTTCAAAAAGGAATGAAACTTACATTTGCTTGTGTTCACAGCATCTTGTAGTTTCTTAGTTCCTAACTGGAACTGATCACTCAATAGGGGCTGCATTTGCCAAGATCCTGGAAAAAAGGTCGCAAAAAAATATAAGTACACTAAACACTTGAGGGCTCTTTGGTGGGTTAGAGAAAAGATGCATTTCGAGCTCATTGTCATAAACGGGCTTATTAGGGCACCAAAGATTATTGGAATGATTGTCTTATCCACAAGAAACAAAAGATTGGAAACTAGCCTGCCAAAGATGGTACTAAAATCCTTTCCACCTCAGTGCTTACGAGTGTTGATAGCTGAAGAGATGTTACTGCTTCGTGACGTAACTCAGTTGACTTCTCCTCGGCTCTATCTAAGATACAAATTGAATAAGAATAAATTCAAAATGATTATATGAATGATTTAGTGAAGCCAAGAGACACCGAACTACGCGAGATACCGCAGAAAGGAACATCACAGACAACTGAAATAGATTGATAAATCGTAGATAATCAAGATTCGAAAATGGTGGCTAACCTTTCAAAATAGGTCTCTCATCACGTTGACCAGTCACCACCTGCCGGTAAATAAGGTGAGTCGTTACAAATAACAGGGGGTATTTTGGGGAACTACGCAAAATGAGCGTGGCTAATTCTAAGCGAAGAATAGCTCAAACATTAGTTAGTCTTGTACCTCATAGTAGACAAAAAATAACTATTTCCTTGGAACCAGTCATTACGAAACTTGATTGATTGTCTCAATAAGTCACTTAAAAATGTACATACTGGTTTGCATCGAAGTTTTGCCGTCTAATCTGAAGAATAATATTATACACGATAACATTTTTTTTCTTTAGTCGGTTTTTAATTACGATTAAAACTAACAATCTAATTGCTATCACATGCTTGTAAGATAATATAAACGATGAAGAAACCATATTTTCTGACCTTGTCCTCACTAAGAGAAATCCAGGGAGCAAAGTCTTCAGCCTGAATTCGGTTATCCTGAGCGGTTGCAAATTTTTTGCAAAGAACCTGCGGTGTTTTATTGTCAAAATCTGACTCTGAAATGAAGTGGAGGCAATCTTCTTGCTCACAATTTTCTATAAAATGCTGTGTGCAGAAGCTGACCATGCGTCCATGGGAACAGATGGGACATAGGAAACATACCCTACATGCAACGTTCTTCACCCAGAAGAACTTGTTCCAGATGCGATCTATCATCAAGGTTAGTTGGCTACGAAAAACTCGAATTGAGGCCATATCAACCATACCAATTTCACTATTTACACTGACTACAATGACCTCAATCGCAGAAGAGTGGCAAAGGAGAACAATCGAGAGGCCTTGGTCAGGGAAGATGTAAAATCTAGCAAAATTGTTGTAAATTTGGGGCGGTACTGAGCGAGGAAATTCTATTCTACACCACAGAAAGAATTCTAACACAAATCGTGGAAATAAACCTGGAGGGACCTGACCTGCATCAAATTTGAGAAAAAGAGAGGGAATTTGTGCAGATTCAACGAGACTACTAATCATTTTTGGTGGATTCGTCCGCAGCATTGATGGCACCAGATAATGCTTGTTGCATGAGTCCTGTGACGATGGCCATGGACACAACAAGCTGAATTTCTCCATAATTGCAATAAGGGTTTCGTGAGTTTCTTTCTGAGGAATCAAAGAATTCCAAACATGTTTGAGAAGTTTTTCTTCCAGGATTCCCTCTTTTTCGAGTTTGAGCCAAAGATCAGCAAAGTTTTTCTCTTCCGAATCGTAGGACCTGACGGTTATTACACTTTTGAATACGTCAATCAGCCATTGGGTATCCAAGATGACTAAATCACTCAATTCTGGAGAGTCATCAAAGTGGATCAAAACTCGGAGATCGTGCAAAAAGTTTAACAAAGTTACTATCTCATTGTTTTTGTTTATCTTGCAAACTTTGAAAGCAATCTCTTTTGCAGTTGCGAGAGAGATGAATTTGCGATCATTTTCCTTGATCACGCGAAGCGCATTTTCGTATTTCAACCACTTGATCGGAATAGCTTCATTTACATGTGGTAACTCCGTAGCAACTTCATGTACCTTCTCCCGCAATCGCATGATTTCTTGACATTCGAACTCAGAGCCTGACACAGTGTTATCAACACAAAACACGTCAAACAAGTGGGCACCATTTGGCTTGGCTTTTAAATCGCCAAATATTTCTTTGGCTAGTGCAAAAGGATTACGGTTACAATATGGTTTGTCAGCATGAGTGCACACCAGGAAAACAGCTGGAAGCTTCTTTGGAAGTACCTCCTTTTCGGAGCTTTGCGGGCGATTTTTTTGTTCCATTAAGGAGGCCAAAGAACTCATCCAAAACTCTAGGTAATCAAAATTCGTTTTTAGATTATATTTATCTTCAATTTTTCTGTAGACTCCTTGCTTCACAAGGGGTATGGCTTTGTCGCTTGGATTTCTACTCAAGTCATAAACCAAAAAGTAGATTGCTCTTCTTGTAAGAAAAAGTGGGTGTGTCACGTAGTAAACAGACTGTCCAGCAAAGTCCCACGTAATTGAGTAAATATCTCCTCTATCGTCTTTCCAATCATCTTGAAGGAACTGTGAAATTAACTTTGCAATGCCCTCCGGCACTTCTCCTGAGGTACTGTTGAGTACGTCATCGTCGTACTTTGTTGGAGTTAGATTATATTCTCCTCTTGTTGTTAAAGAAGGTTCACCGAGTGAAGGATGAACGTTTGCTCGATTTGTAGGAGACCCCGATGGTTCCGTGTAACTTGCAGTCTCACTGGGGTATCTTTCCTCCAAAGTGTTAGTTTCTTCGAAGTCATCATAATTTTCTGACAAGGTACTACCTCTTCCTCGAACGTTAGCAACGTTCTCTTCCTCCATTAATTTATCTGCAATCCACCTAGCTGTATTATGTTCAAAAGAAAAAGATGCTTCATCAAAGTTTTCGCGTAAGTCTTTTTTTCCTGTCTTCCACACTTCTGTGGTTACTTTACAATCATAGGTATCGACTTCGATGCCTACGGTGCTATCTTCATCTGGGTTGAAACTAATCCCTTTCAAGGACTTCTTCACGCTAGTCTTTCCAGACCGATCTTGTCCAACGAACATCAACGGCACTCGCTTTACACAAGTTTGACCTTCGGCCAGGGCATCTTTGTAGGCTTCTAGAGCTTCAGGACCACGAGCACGAATCTCTGGAGGAACTGTAAATGTGACAATCAAGAAATGCACATTAATAAATCTCAATAATGAAGATGGAATTGATAGTGAATCAAACAAACAAGAAATAAGAGACACGTAGACAAAAAAAACCAAACATCAACCAATCCATCGAATTTTATCTTCAAAGCAAACAGGATATATCTCTTCTTAAACGTTATATTTATCATTTATTAATCTATTAGTTATTTCTTATGTGTAGGATCGATCTCAAAAAGAGCACTACTTTCCTTTGAATGGGGCAAAATACTTGTGATTTCATCTAAAACCTAAATCCTAAAAATCGGGGTATGCATGTATGTATGGGAATAGTGGCTCTTTATTCCTAGGCAATAATTTGATATGATATCATAAATATTATATGAAGGAGTGACAATATTGGTATAAAATCTCTAGCGAGCTCCAGCTATATAGAACATGTCACCATTTCTAACATGTCGTCAGTTCTCAGAGCCCTCACTTCCTTGCTCCTTTTCTTCAGTATGATCTGGAAAAACCCCGTAGAAAGCCATAGAAGGTATTGAACTTAAATAGGCTAGCGGTAATCATTGGCACAACACCAAGAACCTAAATTGAAATATAAATTTTTAAGCTATGAAAACATTTTCTTCTCCTGTGAAAATCTGTCGAAAGTAAGCAGACTACTTAGGCTCTTGGACTTCTTCTACTTTTGCGAAAGCTTTCTCATATGCTCTCTTTCAGAGAATTTCAACCCAAAGCTAGAGTCCTCGAGCTCGATTCCAATCAATAAACGAAACTGACCGTCCAAAAATTTGCATTACATATTGAGTAAAAGGAGAGCAATAAGAGTCATTGCAGACCTCTGGCGTATTTTTTGGACACAAAAAAACAGTTTGCACGTACAAAATTAGTTTACGTATAAATTACTTCACATATGTCGAAAGGAAAGAGTCATTGCCTACTTCCAAAGATAAATCCTAATATCGCTCAATTTAATTTTTAGATTCGGATGGGTCTTAATGGCCATTCCTTGATTGCGCGACAAGAACTGAAAATGAAATTTTGCAAAGAGGCGCGTTCCCAGCACATTATCTCTTCGGAATATATTGCCATAAAAAACACAACCATTTTGAAATTGTGTTCTTTAGCAATACCTCTTAATTTTCTTTTAATCAGCCACGTTACACATATATGACGTTAGTGCCGATTTATTACAAACACTCGAAGGATGTCAGTTTCTCACCTGTTCTTGTGGATCCATATCCGTTCATCTCCCGTACGACAAAGCCTTGAATTTCCTTTACAAATTGAATAAATTCAGGCAGTTTCTGAGCAATTACTTCCGGTTCCCAGTCTGTCCCATTTAGGAGTTTATCACACTCTTCGCTGTGTAAGTGGAGGTCAGTCTACCCGTTGCACAAGAAAAAGAGAGAATTAGCGAGGAAAACTTAAAATTTAGTTGTTTTGCTAAACATGCTAACTATTTTTCATAAAAATATGCGATTTGCAACCGTTAAACATACGTTATTACCGATTTTCTGCTTCTTTCATTTCCTAGGGGGTCAATCCACCATGAATCTTCCTGAGAAAGTATGGCAAAGAATCCTGGACGCGTGCTGTACATTTTTCGCTGACAACATCGCTTATGAAGTAAGTGGAATCCGTCAGGGAAATCGTGATCTGGGAGACGTAATCCGAAGGCATCCTCATCTGTCAAAGTTAATCGGGACAAGTATGTAGACAAAGCACGTCTCACTTCGATTTCGGGTACGTCTCCTCTAATAGCAGTACGATCTGTAACAAGACAAGTTTTACGCAAAAGTTTTAACCGGAATCAATAAAATTGACCTCTTCCAGTAAAAATATTCGTGTCAAACCGATGCATGTCAAAAGCCCATGAATTGTGCGATAAGGAGGAATGATTAAGTACACTTTTACATAGACTTGGTATCCATAGAGGCAAAGTGACCGTTCAGCCTGGACAGTCGAAGATTTTCATGTCCAACTTAACTGGCATTTGAAAAGGAAATTTGAACGGGAAATAAAAAGAGAGAAGTCCCTGTTCTTTCTTCTCTAAGAGAAACTCATGATCAGGTCGTGTATAGGTGGAAGGGGAGAGGAGATAAGAAGGTAGAGAGTACGTGAACGAATGAAAAACTAAACGAGAGGCCATTTGTTTCAGAACGACAAGGACCGAAAAAAACAATTTTCTAGTCTTGCCTGTTCGCCCACGCATCGTGAACCTGCAGTCTAGCTCGCAACCAGGAAAAAGAATGTCGGTCTGTAAATATTTTCTAGATTTAAGTACCAGCCATCCACGACAGCGTGATTGCATTGTTTCATCTTCAAATTGGATCTCTTCTAAGACATTCTTTACGTCACTAAAAGGAATTGGTATATCTTCCAGCCTTTTCTTTACGCTACTCTTTGCTACCCACACCTGTTCAAAAAGATAGAGAAACACAGCACGTGAAGTATGAGCTCCTGCCGGGCCAGTATTCACAACGTTGTGAGGTCACTTTTCGGCAAACGATAGGGGCGTAACACAGTAATCGGCGGTGAAACGAAAAAAGGCAAAAAATTGTTCGAACTCACCTTACATCTAAGTTGGTTAAAACAAGGCGTCAGATATGTTAGGTCATATCTGGAGATGTATTCATTGTCTTCGGTGATCTCTTTGAGGCCAGTTCTTTTAAAGATGTCCTCAGGAATATCATCTCGCTCTCTAAAAGAAACTTTCCAAAACATTTTTTCTCCTGAATCAGGCCTTTGAAAATTTTCTGCTATCTCTTCGATGTCCCACGTTTTTTGACCAATATCGTCTGCAAAAAAGAGAGAGGTATGTCAGATTGGCGAACAACATGAGTTATGACTTGGAAAAAAATTATGCAAGTCTAAGTACAAGATGGTAAAAAATGCCATTAAAGGAGAAACCGCAAAATAAGATTAACGAAAAGAAGTGAAAAGGAGCACACAAAACTTTTCAACGGGATGGTCAGTTAATTCAACTGTTATTCATCGACGCAAAATATCCAAACAAGTATGAATATTACCTTCCTCACGAACTCTTATAATAGAGGTCCCCAAATGACACCACATATCGGCTTTCGGACTCTCATCTGTCTCCCTGTTATCTTTAATCTTGCGTAAGGACATCAAAACTTCGTCTTTAAGATCGGATTGGTACACGGTGTCATTTCGGTCATGGTGCAAATTCTGCCCAAATAAACATGTTAGTATTACGCAAAGATTGCTTTAAGAATTCTAGTTCTCGAGTCAAAAATGTGGCTACATCTAGAAGCAGATAGGCTTATGATATATCATGTCATAAATATTTCAAGAACGACGGTCAAAGAAAACTTCTACGTCACCCGTGAGTAACACCCAGAACACGGACAACCAGATTTTTCAGCGTCATAAAATGCATGATCATAATCTGTACGAGTTCGAATATAGTCTTGCATGGAATTCAACCAAGCTCAAACTCATAAAAATGTATCAGCTGTTAATTGTATTCAGTTGAAAGTGAATGATTCGATACCTTAATAGCAGCATAGGCTGAATTGCTAAGGTCTACAGTGCTACCAGGGTTGAGATCGGACGTCAGCATTATCAGGCGCCTCTGGCAGCCGCTTTAGTCCATGTAACGACCTCACCTTTTCCCCCCACACATCCCACCCCAGGGGAGGACATCCATCACACAGTAATCTCGTGTGTGGGAAATTAACGTCTCCTACCCCTAACCCTGCAGGAGACGGGACCTCCGGGTCCTCATCCGAGAAGACAAGAATATCTATCCATTTCTTTGATGTTACAGAAAGGTAGCAAAATCTCCTCAATTATTTTAAGACCATGAGTATTGGTCCGGCCGGGGCTCGAGCCCTCGACCTCCCGCACAACACAATCCGGCGCTCTAACCAATTGAGCTAACCAGGAGGCGAGTTCTTGTTCAATATTGCCATTTAACAAACGAGGCTCATCAGTATGGAAGTGTAATTTTAAACCTAACTATCTTCACTCAATTAGTAGGATTCGCAGACCTATGTTTTTGACAGAGCATTCTTAAAGACTATTTCAAAAGCATGATCACGACGTAACACAATGTATTGAACATTCCGGTTCATTACCTTATCACAAAAGAAAGAGAATGAGCCAACTCATGTACATTACTGTAGCAAAATCAAACCAAGAAGAATACCTTACTCTCGCAGTGCTCAGCTAGTTCGAGTCGATACTGTGTCTCAGACCCTGGAAGCGCCATGCGATCTTCCATTTGCACCTCCTGAAGCTTGAGTTTACAGTTTGCAGGAAGATGACAACCATCGACGTAAGCGCGAACTTTGTAAAATTCGTTTTCAAAATACTTCAATCTTGCTCCAGCCTAGAAGTTTAAAAGGCAACTTTAACGAAAGAAAGCTGGTTTTATCGCACGCATCACATCCTTATTACTGGTTTTAGTCAAGCAGGTCTAGAAATCAGGTAGTGATGGCTCTTTGGCAATTCAAATGAACAAACCTTGATGAATGAAGCATCAGAAGCTATTGAACTTGTACTGAATTAGTACGCCACAATATTCAGAGGGGTGGAGATGGAACCTTACAATGCTGTTTGAATCGTTATGCCGCTAAATATTAATTTCTAGAGTATAAAAACGATTCTATAGATCTAGTTCGTGAAGATATATCCCCAGTAGTATTAAAGCGATCTCGCTCTCCGATTAAGAATCAATTTGTAACTTTAAACATACCACAATTGTTCCGATGTTCATTTTTGCATGTCGCCGTTGCTGATGCGTTCCACGGACTATATACACTTCTCCATCCTTCACAATAAGTTTAACTTCTGTTTGGGTCTCTATCTGGCGTAAAGTAGCTCTATATTTTCCAATTACTCTGCCTTTGTATGAGTTTGGAATTTCTACCAGTTCATCCCAATTATTATTCAACTCCTCCTATGAAAAGGAACTAATGGTCAATTCAGAATCCATATTGTACACCAGAGAGTTTTGAATAAGCAACTCTGCTGTTGACATCATTTGCGTTTTTGATATTTTGTGGATCTATGTCATTTCCCAAACACTGGCGGTGAACAAGAGGAGCTTAAGACTTATTACACTTATGATTATACTTGTTCAGTATCTTTTAAAACACCGAAAGTTCTTCAGTGAGTTTACCGCAATATAATGTAGCGTTAATCTTAAAGTAACCAAACCATAGCGTATATCTGGAACTAACCAATTTTTCTGAAATAAGCTGCCTCGCCACTTCTAATTCCTCAGGGCGTCCACTGACTATAAATCCTGCATGTTCTCTTCTCCCAGGCTCAATTATGGCTCCAGATCTCGTCATCATTTCATTTATCACACTTCGATGCCTACCGATGATATGGGCTTTCAAATCTATTGGAACTGGTATAAATTCTCTTTCCATTGCCTCCGTGTTTACTTCCTTGGTATTAGCTAGATATCACTAAAACAAAAAAGCTGTATTGAAATAAAATCATCGCCTCTTGTTATTAAGGCCAACACATTTTTTGCGTCGTGTTTATGGCTTTCCCATCAGGTCATTACCTCTCTACATTATCTCTTTGAATGGTGAGTTTCATTCTCATTCTTTTTCTATTTTGACCTTTGAATGTTCCTGTTTCATTCTATTATACTATTACAACGCTAAAACAACTGATGAAGAACTAAACAGAGAACTCACACAACCTAGCTATTACTTCATTATCGCGCTCACTGTTAATTTCATGTATTTTATCATAAAATAGAGAAGTTTTCATGATTTCGAGACTCGATCGTGAAGTGTGCTTGTACTACTCATACTAAAATTGCAAATCACTTAGCGTTTTTAAGCGAGACAGTTTTTTGCGTTAAGATGACCCTGATTTGAATAACATTGCGTGAATTGGTGAGCACCTTACATTTCAAATCCCCAAGCCTTTTTAAACGAGACAATTTTTGCGTTAACTTGATGACCCTGAGTTAAATGACGTAAAATTACACAGTTTTACACAGATTTCAAGAGGTCGATGCTTGTTGGGGAATTATCGGTCTAGAACCAAATGGAAACATTCAACNCAAAACTTTCTGAATATTTTCTTATTTTGAATTAATTATAAGGTGGTATTAAAATTGAGGTCACCACTTATATGTGATGAGTTTCAACCATCATTTTGCTGATATTTACTCTTAAGTAGACTTATAGTTACCATACAGCTCTAAGTTTGTTTACAACTTAATGCAAAGGACTGATTAAACATCTTTTAATATACATGCCCGACGACAGGGAAACCGCTACAATTACACATTGCGTGACAACTAAAAAATTGTTGTTTCATGGGCAAGTGCGTTTTACAAATGATTCCTCCTTCATTCCTTCGACGATCAATCTTATATGAATTTCCCCTCTGTCGACTGAGTCTGGATGAACATGAATTATAAAGTTTAATATCAACTCCCTATTGATCAGATGTTAAAACTAAGTGTTCACATTACCTAAACACAATATGCCTGTGATTGTACTGTCCGCATGATCTTGTTTAAAGAAAACGATTAAAGAACCAGGTCGAATAAGGTAATGTCACATTTTCACCCTTTTGAAAGGGTAATTTCATAGTGAACGCAATTTATTCCATCTGAAAAACCAGCTTTAAGATTTACAAAGGAGTCACGTCCCATTTGAGGAAAAAAATATGACAAAATGGATGACTACAGTTCTAGCTTTAGATATAACACTTTGATGAGCAGTGCCAAACAATTAACAACATTTCGATCAACGTCAATAATTAGGAAAGTAGTAACTGGCAGTTTTCTCTTACCGTAGAGTAGTTATTCCGTCCTGAAATAGGAAAGTTAATCCGACTTATTGTAGAGCTGACTGAATCGCTCTGCAATGATTACGAGTTTGGCTGCCCGGCTTTTAGTCGATAAAAGCAATCATTTTTCCGCCTAAATTGACCCCAAGTTAGTCTCTTGCTTTTAGCATGACATGTGTTGCATTTCACTGTACAACCGAAAGCCGACTATGTGTCGAAATCTTAAAATCTATCAAGTTTAGTCGACGCAAGGCACTTAGGGTAGCCAACTTAAATTTACTTCTGTCATATAACCCAACCGCAGTGCATGCTAGGAAATAGGTTTAGCCGCAGACAATTAGTTGATGATAGCCCCAGTTATCTGCAATGGTCTATTTAATACCTTATGAAGAAAGTAAATGAGTGTATAACGTCAATGTAACAAGCATTCGGCAAAAACGGGGGCAAAAGATTGATTCAAGGATTCTGGAAGAAACTGGTAACAAATGATTTCCGGAAGTGCTTCCGGTTAGGTTGTTTCTTAAGTTTATTCGAATGCTTACTCTTCGGGAATCGTTCGACATTCATGTTAAATTTACGAGCTGCCACTTACTAAAGAAAGAGCAAGCGCTGCCTGATATCCATGGGAAGTCGTGGTTTTGACAGAAGGCGATGGAAAGACTCAAAAGGAAGGTAAGAAGTCGTAAGTAAAGTAATTGAATCAACCTTTAGATTGTTGCTTTGAACGATATTTACCTTTACTACAAATAAGCGAATTCAGGGATCCATTTTGCTCCTTTTCCTTATCTTATCCAGTAAAAGAAATGTAGATGCGATTTGCTCCAATCTGAATTTTCAATTTGTCCTCAGTTGATGTCTGAAGATCATGTTTCGAATTCGTATTTCCTCGCACATCTTGTCTAATTTAGGTTTCCGTCGTCCCTATAGAGAGCCTGGGACTTAAATACAGTCCAATTGTAGTCATTTACAAGGGGAAAGTGTTTTTTTTCCTTAGGAACGAAATTATGATAAACAGTCCAATCTGAAAACTAAGAGATCTGCATATAAGCATATAGTGGTCAATGTGTTCATACAGGTAATTAACACTACTCATGTATTGTAATATCGTGATAGGATATAGGCCGTAACATAAAGCAAACTTTTTTCGCTATTCACATCTCAGTATAATCATGTATAAATTCAAACAGTATAATTCATGCCCGAAAACAAGACAAAATCGCCTCAAGTTAGAAGAAGGCATATCCCTTGGAAGGTAGAAAAAAGTTAAGACACTACTCTGCGCTTAAACCTTTAGATCCCTGCAGGCGTACCTCATGACAGAATACGGCATATGATTCGCATTTTGACGAACTATGCGAAAACTATTCAAACGCGTAGTTCTCCTCAAACTTATAAGTCCCTGCCTGCAAGGGAAACTAAGAAAGACTTAACGGAGTCATCAGACCTCTTTTAATATATGGGAGCAAGGTTTGGGACTGCTGCAGTTCAGAGAATCTCAAAATGATTCTTAAACTTCAGAAGAGAGCGGCAAGCATTATTTTATATGCAGACAAGAAAACACATATCCCTTACGAAAACAAACTTATTTTATTTCTATTTAATGCCTATTTTAATGCTATCACCTCTATTTTGTACTGTTTTATTTTCTCAGACTTATATTTTATACCTATTTTACCTGAAAGGGAAAATAGAACCACTATTTTAACCATATTTTAAGGCAAAGTTGAACAAGGTGGTGTATTTTTAATTTCTATTTTCTCAAAATGAGCAGAAAAATAACCAGCTAAACAGACTATTTTAATCATATTTTATTTTCTACATCAGTAAAATAGTGATCAAATAGTCTGCTTTATTTCTGTTTTCTGCTGATAGGACATACTAAAGCCATTTCCTTTGAAAAATATGAAAAAAATAGGCTATCACAACCCTATTTTATCAAAGAAAATGTTGACTAACTGCAAAATAGATATAGAATAGACTGTTTTATGTCTATTTTATAGGTATTTGATTCCTATTTTTTCAAGTTTTTCCCTCTTTTATTCCTATTTTATGTCTATTTTAAATGTACTTACATCCTATTTTTGGTTTTTT